TAAACCTTATGAATGTAGAACAGAGACGAGAGATCTGCAGAGAAAGAGAACCCCAAGGATCTAAAAGGGTTCCACTTTGCCTATTCAATAGAGTCAAGCACGTACATCTGAAGAAACTGTCCAAGGCTGGGGAAATAGCCATCAGAAAGAACCAAAGGAAGCATCAGAGGTGCTTGGCATGCACATAGTGTCCATAGTAGTTCCTGTTCCCAACATTCATGCTGGAAATATAATTCATGGAATAGTGGGTAGAGGATACAGGAAGGTCTAGTTTCAGTAATGGGGAATATTATCCCTAGATTGAGAACTGCTTCAGATCCACCTAACAATTCATACAGCAAAACACAAAAGAACAAAATTATCTCCAAGTGAATTAACTGAACTCTAAAACAGACCTCAAGAAGATTTATAGGAATACAAAGAATATAAAAAATGCCCAGTATCCACCAGAGTACAATTCACCAAGTCTGGCATTCAATAAAATATTATGAGTTATGTAAAGAGGCAAGGAAATCACGTCTTATATAATGAGGAGAAAAATCAGTATAAATCAACCCAGAACTGACTCATGTTAGAATTAACAGAGAAAAATATTAAAAGTTATAATGTTATTGCATATGTTTAAAAAGTTAAGTAGAGATGTGAAAGTTACAAATAAAAGACAAATTAAACTTCTAGAGATGAAAACCAAAATATCTGAGATAAAAATGCTGAATGGGATTCATAGCAGTCTAAATATTACAGATGAAAGATGAGTGAGTTTGATGGAATAGCCATAGAAATTATGCAAAATAAAACAGAAAAACAAATACAAAATATGAGAAGAAAATCAGTGCGGTATGGGACAACCTCAAGCTGTGTAACATGAAGGTACTTGTAGTCACCAAGGCAGAGGAGAGGACAGAAAAAAAAAAAATTGAAGAAATAATGGCTGAAAATTTTCCAAACTTAATTAAAACTATAAACCACAGATCAAGAAACTCAGTAAATGCTAAGCACAAAAAAATGAAGACACATAACTAAAGGCACATAATTATCAAATTGCTCAAAACCAATGATAAAGAGAAAATGTCAAAAGTGGCCAGTGGGAGAGGCATTCTATGTATAGAGGTATAAAGATAAGAATAACATCAAATTTCTCATAGAAAACAATACAGGTAAAAGGAAATGAAGCAAGACTTTTATGGTATTTAAAAGAATAACAATTTTTCACCCTGAAATTCTACACTTGGAAAAATATCTTTCAGAAAGAAAGGCAAATAAAGATGTCTTCAGGCATACAAGATCTCAGAGATTTATCACCAGCAGAACCCACACTATGAGAAATATTGAAGAATGTCCTGTTGGCAGAAAGAAAAATGATACACAGACTGGGTGTGGTGGCTTATGCCTGTAAATCCCAACACTTTGGGAGGCTAAGACAGGTAGAACATTTGAGGTCAGGAGTTCAAGACCAGCCTGTCCAACATATTGAAAGCCTGTCTCTACTAAAAATACAAAAATCAGCTGGGCATGGTGGCATACACGTGTAATCCCAGCTACTCCAGAGGCTGAGGCAGAAGAATCGCTTGAACCTGGGAGGTGGAGGTTGCAGTGAGACAAGATGGCACCATTGCACTCCAGCCTGGGCAACAGGGAGATTCTCTCTCTCAATTAAAAAAAAAAAAAGGATACCACAGGAAAATCTGGTATTTAAAGAAATGAAGGCCATAAAAATAGTAGTAATATAAGTAAATATATTGAAAAATTTACTTAGTATCCAAATCTTTTTTTTTCTTTTTACCAGAAACAATATTATTTAACGATAAAAGAGTCAATTTACCAGGAAGATATGACAATTATAAGAGAGTAATAGAAAACAACATAACAATAGTAGGAGATTTCAATATCCCACTACACACACACATACACACACACACTCACATATACATTAAGTTCTGGGATACATGTGCAGAACGTGCAGGTTTGTTACATAGGTATACTCGTGCCATGGTGGTTTGCTGTGGCCATCAACCCCTCATCTACATTAGGTATTTCTCCTAATGCTATCCCTCGCCTAGACCCCCACCCCATGACAGGCCCCAGTGGGTGATGTTCCCCTCCCGGTGTCCATGTGTTCTCATTGTTCAACTCCCACTTATGAGTGAGAACATGCGGTGTTTGGTTTTCTGTTCCTGTGATAGTTTGCTGGGAATGATGGTTTCCAGCTTCATCTATGTCCTTGCAAAGGACATGAAGTCATCCTTTTTTATGGCTGCATAGTATTCTATGGTGTATATGTGCCATATTTTCTTTATCCAGTCTCTCATTGATGGGCATTTGGGTTGGTTCCAAGTCTTTGCTATTGTGAACAGTGCTGCAATAAACATATGTCGGCATGTGTCTTTATAGTAGAATAATTTATAATCCTTTGAGTATATACCTAGTAATGGTATTTCTGTGTCAAATGGTATTTCTGGTCAGATCCTTGAGGAATTGCCACACTGTCTTCCACAATGGTTGAACACAACAGTTGAATGAGTGAGTTTACACTCCCAACAGTGTGAAAGCATTCCTATTTCTCCATAGCCTCGAAACATCTGTTGTTTCCTGACTTTTTAATAATCATCATTATAACTGGTGTGAGATGGTATCTCATTGTGGTTTTGATTTGCATTTCTCTAATGACCAGTGATGATGAGCTTTTTTTTTTTTTTTTCGTGTGTCTGTTGGTTGCATAAATGTCTTCTTTTGAGAAGTGTCTGTTCATATCCTTTGCCCACTTTTTGTTTGCTTTTTCTTGAAAATTTGTTTAAGGTCCTTGTAGATTCTGGATATTAGACCTTTGTCAGACAGATAGATTGCAAAAATTTTCTCCCATTCTGTAGGTTGCCGAACAGACACTTTTCAAAAGAAGACATACAAGTGGCAAACAAGCATATGAAAAAATGCTCAACATCACTAATCATTAGAGAAATGCAAATCAAAACCACAATGAGATACCATCTCACACCAGTCAAAATGGCTACTATTAAAAAGTCAAAACAAACACATAACAACAACAACAACAACAAAAAACAGATGCTGGCAAAGTTGTAGGGAAAAGGGAACACTTTCCTGATGGGAATGTAAATTAGTTCAGCCACTGTGGAAAGCAGTTTGGTGATTTCTTGAATAACTTAAAACAGAACTACCATTCAACCCAACAATGCCATTACTGGGTATATACCCAGAGGAATATAAATCACTCTACCATAAAGATACGTGCATAGTTATGTTCATTGCAGCACTATTCACAACAGCAAAGGCATGGAATCAACCTAAATGCCCATCAATAGCAGGAAATGTGGTATATATACACCATGGAATACTATACAGCCATGAAAAAGACCAAGATAATGTCTTTTGCAGCAACATAGATGGAGCTAGAGGCTATTATCCTATCTTAACACAGGAACAGAAAACCAAATACTGTATGTTCTCACTTTTATGTTGGAGCTAAATATTGAGTACACAAGGATAAAATAATAGAACAACAGATACTGTGGCCTACTGAAGAGTTGAGGGTAAGAGAAGGGTGAGTATAAAACAAACTGCCTATCAGGTACTATACTTATTACCTGGGTGATGAAATAATCTGTACACCAAACCCTCGTGACATGCAATTTAACTATATAATAAACCTGCACATATACCCCTGAAACTAAAAGTTAAACACACACACACACACACACACACACACACACACAGAATCATCCGTAACTCAAATATTACAGGTAAGAAGTTTTAGGTTGCCACACCTGTTAAAAAACTCCAGCAAGCTGAGCTTAAGGCAGAAAATAAGAAATCCATGAAAGGGTAGGGAAAGAACAAGCTATAATTATCAATATATGTCTGGGGCAGGATTAGGAGCTACAGTAGCTATGTTTTCTGCTAATTATTTGCTTCTTTTGCTCTTCCTCTTTCAACTTTCTTACATGAATAATCATGACAGGAGCTATTCTTTTATGTATCAGGCAGAAGTGTGAACTACTTGATATCATGCTGCTATAATAAAGTTCTTAATGGAACTTTATGTGTTCCCTGTATTAGGAATATGAATTAATCACTGAAAGAAGAAGTGGATGCTGAGGGCAAAAGGGGTGTACTTCACCAGTTGACCTTTCCAGATCTACCTTCTATCCTTTTTTAGCTTGCTATGTGCTTCAGAATGTTTGATGTCGTCTATGGATTATACCAAAAGGCTCCTTGTTCCCTGGCTTCTAATTGGAATACAATACAGGGGATCAGAAGGTGGGTGGAAAATGGGCTTGAGAAATATTTCTTCCCATGGCTTCCTTGCCTTCATATAGCCTAAGTCCACAGTTCCTGTCTTGTGCCCTTAGTATATCACTACCCTCTCCAGGTTCTAGTTCCCTCCTCTTGGTCATTCAGGCTTAGTATTAGTTACAACTTCTCACTCTTGCCATATGTCACTATTCTTGGAATATTTCGCTATTTCTTGCTGGTTTCCACAACTCCTGTATTCATCTTTATGAAGATGTATCCTGATAAATATGATCCTTATGTTTCTAAAATAGTGTGAGAAGGACAGCAGAGCTCATATATTCTGCTTCATTGTACCCATGCTCTTCATTAACCATGTTAAGCACACATACAGGTACACATGCTAACAAACATGTAGCAACTAGCTCATAGTAAGTGATTCAGTAATACCTGTTAATTTATTGATCATTTGATGATGCAGAGAGATTCAGAAGTACCAAAAGATAAAGGACTTGGAGTAAGATCCGAAATAGACAGGTGATAATACACAGCATTATTAAAAAGTTAGATTTTACAAGGCTTATAAAATGTGTGGGTTTATCAGGGGATTTCTTAACCCTTAGGTGTCAAAGGACCAACCAGAAGGAAGCGTATCTCCTTCCGATTGCTGCATGAATTATTGTCCTTCTTCTATGAAAGAAACGCAGGATAAAGGATAGAGGGTGTGTCTATGGATAAGGCCCAAGAATAAGAATCTTCCTATATTTTTCATTAATTTTTATTTTACAATTGACATGACAATTATACATAGTTTGGGAATACAGTGTGATGTTTCAATGCATGGAAACATTGTATAGTAATCAAATCAGGGTAATTACCATATCCATCACTTTAAGTCTTACCATATTTTAGTTTCACAAAGAAGAGGGCTACCTAGCAAGACTTCTTTAATAATATAATTTTATTTTATCCAATATATAAAAATATTATTTTATTGTCACACCATCCATATAAAATTATTAATGACATGGTTTATATTCTATTTTCATATTGGTGTGAAAATTTGAGATCTAATGTGCATTTTTTTTCTTCTTTTCAACTTTTATTTTAAAGTCGGGGGTATACATGCAGGTTTGTTACAGAGGTATATTGCGTGATGCAGAGATTTGGAGTACAAATGAATCCATTACCCAGGTAGTGAGTAGGTAATAGGTAGTTTTTTTAACCCTTCCCCCTCCCTCCCATAATCTAGTAGTCCCCAGTGTCTATTGTTCCCACCTTTGTCTTCATATGTACCCAACGTTTAGTTCCTACTTATGAGTGAGAACATGAAGTATTTGGTTTTCTGTTTTTGTACTAGTTCACTTAGGATAATGGTTTCAAGCCACATCTATGTTTCTGTGAATGACATGATTTCATTCTATTTCATGACTGCATAGTATTCCAAGGTATATATGTACTTTTGTTTTCAGAGCAGGAGTGAAAGTTTATTAAAAAACTTTAGAACAGTAAGGAAGGAAAAGGAAAGGAGAAAAAAGAAGGAAAGTATAACTTGGAAGGGGGCCGAGTGGGCGACTTGAGAAACCAAGTGTGCCAATGTACAGTTTAAAAATCCAATCCACTTGGGTTGAGTCCATGTCTTCCCAGCAAGTCTTTGAATTAGGAAGCCAAAAGGGTCTCTGAGCTCATTGTCAGTGTGAGATTCCAAGCCTGCATGGGAAATTCCTTGTGGTTAATTTCCTCAGAGCTCCCTTCACATCCTTGTTTCTCAGGCTGTAGATGAGGGGATTAAGCATGGGAGTCACCATTGCATAGAAAACAGACACCAATTTTTCCTGCTGTTCGGAAGACTTGGGTGTCATGTAAGTGATAATTGCTGATCCATAAAAAAGTATGACCACCATGAGGTGGGAGCCACAGGTAGAAAACGCCTTGAGACTCCCCACAGTTGACTTCCTCTTGACCACAGTTACTATGATATGGCCATAGGATACTAGAATCAGAAAAATGGGTATGAGGAGAATCACAACCCCCATAAGAAAAATGGCCATCTCCGATGTGTGGGTGTCTGTGGATGCCAAGATCAATAGTGCAGGGGCTTCACAAAAGAAATGAGCAATGTTGTTATTGCCTCGGTAGGGTAGCCTCAGTGTGAAGGTGGTGTCTACCACAGACACCAGAATGCCACTGGTCCATGATCCTGTTGCCAGCTGGACACACACTTTCCAGGTCATGATGCTAGGGTAATGCAGAGGATTGCAGATTGCCACATAGCGATCATAGGACATCACTGCCAGAAGGGCACACCGTGTACACCCAAAAATGAGGAAAAAGAGAAGTTGAGCTGTGCAACGTGTGAATGAAATGAACTTTTTCCTGGAAAGCAGGTGCACTAGTGTCTGAGGAACTATGTTGGTAGAGAAACAGAGGTCAGCCAGAGACAAGTTGCAGAGAAAAAAATACATGGGTGTGTGAAGTCGGGAGTCAACAGGAACAAGGGACATAAGAAGCAGATTTCCAAGCAGAGTGACCAGTGACCAGAGTGACCCAAGAATAAGATCAATAGCAGCTGCTGGGTGTATGGCCCATCAGAGAGTCCCAGAAGGAGGAATTCTGTCACTTGTGTCTGATTTATCTGTCTCATAGTTTGTTGTCCTTTTCAGTAAGAAGTCACTATGTGCTAACCATAGACATGCATACCTCTAAAATTATATAATTCAGAGGTGAAGGCTTAGGAATTGCCCCAATTGCTACTGAAAATTTCAAGAACCCCCTCCATAAGAGGATCATGTTTCTTTCATTGGAACATTTTCAATGTTGTAAAACAAACTTTAAAAGATGTTGCATTCATTGTTGGTGTCATCTGGCAAGAATAGGGTAGACTTTTAAAATTATTTTTCTTACTCCGAATAACACACTTTTAACAGTACAATATTAAATACAGACTAAATTCATCTATAAAGTCATGCCATTTAATTTCTGTTTGTTCTTAACTAAAACCCCTGAGTCTTAAGTGCTCTTATCACATCTCCTCTTCCCCACTTATGATTATATAGATTTCTGTTGTATTTTCCCTGAAAGAACAGACACGAGGGTATAAGAAATCAGAAAGAGCCAAAGTCCTGGTATGTTTTGTTTAAGAAACTAACTTGTTTTGTAGGAGCTGGGAAACCAAAGGGTAACTCAGGTTACCCTTGGGAATCCTATCTGAAGCCTCAGCTTGGGTTCTGTTCAGTCTCAACTGTGAATGAACTTCCAATATAACAAACACACCATCAAAACAGAATTTTCATTTTAAGCCACCAGCGTGGCTAGTTTCATACTCGGCCCAAACAGCACTACTCCCCAGCTCTCTCTGCTAAAAATTATATGCATTATCTGTCTACTACCCCCCAAAATTAAAAGTTTTTTTGAAAATAGTTTCCATGTCTTTTCACCTCTGTGCCTTTTATAAGACATAGCAAAGAACTTCATTCCATAAATGACCATTAATTCATTAAATAAATAGTAATTTGATCACATAGTTAAGCAGAGTTGTTTAGAAGGTTTGCCAATATCCCTAGAGGATTTAAAATAATTTGGAAATAATAATACAATTTCGTGGAGCTGTTCCCAAAAAAAGGGAAATAAATTTACTTTAAAGTATAAAGTTTAAGATCCTATATATGGGTTGGGCTATCAATCCTTTAACTGTCTGGTGAAAGTATCTCAGAATAATGTTTTAAATGCATCACATAAAATGTATAAGATTACCAAGGAAACCAGTTATATCAAAATATAGTTATCAAAATAATTTTAGAAAACAGATTTGTAAACAGCAATATATGTGCTTCTTTATTAATACACTAAAGTTCTGAAATGTAGTGGTGGGTCTAACAACCATCTTCATTTCAAAATAATGATGAGCTTAAATATTTGGAGATCTCTTTAACAACTGCAATACAATATAAAAATTATTATAATTACTACTGCTGACAAAGTCATGGATACTTCCAATATTGGTGTGGGTTGGTTACTTGCATTCAAATTGGAAGGAAACATCAACTTTCAGTTAGGGGAAAATAAAAATAAAAAAGTAACATTTTACTCCAAGTTGAAGAACTCCCTTGGGTTACAGGAATCCCCAGGAGTTTTCTTTTTTTTAAGACATAATTACACCCTACATAATCTCGTAACAGAGTCTCAGCATCTGGATTGGTCTGTGAGTCAAAGAAATGAAAGATTTCAATTCATAATTGGTCTTCAGACTAAAGTTGGAATTTGGCATTGGGAGGAAGGTCCCTTTGTACTTCCACTTAACTGTTTGGTGCTTTAGGTTTTTAGCATTGCTCCTTGCTCACTTTGTAGGCAGAAGGCCTTAAGCAAACAGCTTAGTACTACTGGTTAGCCATGGACTCTACACTACTTTCCTCACTTCTTGGGATTTTTCCTACAACATCTTTTCTCCAGACAGGAATTTAGTTGTCCTGGGCCAAAGTTACCACTAACAACCAATCTGGGAAATGTGTGGCCTAATGTCGCTTCTCTTCTCCACTTTTATTTTAACACCAGAGGAAGAATCCTGAAAACAATTTCACCTTACTGTTTTACTTTACAATGTACTGATTAGTTAATTATTTAAAAGATTCTTTTTTTAACTCAAAATATACATTTTCTTTATTCTTTATGTTATTCTTCTCTTTTACACATCTAGGAAAATCTGTCAAAACAAAAACAGTCTCATATCTAATCATATAAACGTAATGGTTACACAATATTACTGTTATATCAGGTAGATGGAGGTGTGGATGTTGATTCAATTGTAAAATAAAAACCAGTACCACCAAACTCTAAAATCTTTGAAAGGATAAAAGTCTTTTACCTAATCCCTAAGAGGAACTCAATATTCCTTCTCAGTTTTGAAGATAAGTCACTTAATTTTAACATTTTGTTTGTTTAATTGTATTTTAAATATACACCAAATATACATTTTTCAGAACAAAAGAAAAAAATTGATAAATTGGACATCATCAAAATGAAAAATGTTTGTGTTTCAAAAGACATCATTAAGGGAAATGAAAAGACAACCCACAGCATGGTAGAAAAATTTTGCAAATGATATATCTGATAAGGGACTTATATTTAGAATATATAAGAAACATAACTTGGTAATAAAAAGGCCAATAATATAATTAATAACTGGGCAAAGAATCTAAATAGACATTGTTTCCAGAGGAGGTATGCAAATGGCCAGTAGGCACATGAAAATATGCTGAATGTCATTAGCCATAAAGGAAATGCAAACCAAAACCACAATAGCATACAACTTTTCACCTACTAGGATGGCTAGCAGGTTACCATATGAATCAGCCATCCCACCAGTAGGTATATACCCAAGAGAACTGAAAGCATATGTTGCACACAAAAACTTATACATTAATGTTTATGGCAACATTATTCATATAGTCAGAAAGTGCAGTGATCCAAAGACAAAAAGTGAAATGTCTTTGAATGTATAAAGAAAAGGTGATATATCAGCTGGGCGCGGTGGCTCATGCCTATAATCCCAGTACATTGACAGACTGAGGCAGGTGGATCACTTAAGGTCAGGAGTTCGAGGCCAGCCTGGTCAATATGGTGAAACCCTGTCTCTACTAAAAATACAAAAATTAGCTGGGCATCATGGCGCATGCCTGTAGTCCCAACTAGTTGGGAGGCTGAGGCGGGAGAATCGTTTGAACAGGGTAGGCAGAGGTTGTAGTAAGCTGAGATCACACCACTGCACTTCAGCCTGTATGACAGAGAGAGACCCCATCTCAAAAAGAATAAAGGTGATATATCCATATAAAGGATTGAACATGGTACAACATGAATAAACCTTAAAAATGCTATGGTAAGTGAAAAAAGTAGTCACAAAGGATGACATATTGCATGATTCCATTTATATTAAATGTCAAGAACAGGCAAATCTACAGAGAAAGAAAGTAGATTGGTTGTTGCCTAGGGCTGGGGGTATAGGAGGACTGGATGATGGTGACTAAGGAATGCATGATTTCTTTTTGGAGTGATGAAAAAGTTCTAAAATTGACTGTGGTGATGGTTGCACAACTTTGTGAATATTCTAAAAGCCATTGAATTATAAACTTTAAATGGTAAGTTGTGTGGTATGTCCAACATGCATCACCCAAATGTATGGTAATAGTAAATCTCTTTCCAAACACCCTCAAGCCCACTACCCTTTCCATTAGTAACCATAGATCACAAGTTGTATACATCTTTCCAGATGTCTATTAATTCAAATATGCATGTGTGTATGTACATGAGTATGTACACTTTTGTAATTAACATATGATTTAGTGACTTAATTTTCCCAACAATCGCTATTATCTTGGAGACACTTCTTGACTGATATATATAGTTATACCTATGTCTTGCTTTATATTCCACACTATAGTTAATTGATTATAGTTGATTGCATTATATTCCACACTACAGTTAAACCAAAACTTAGTTAACTATTCTCTTATTGATGAACAATAATATTGGGGCCAATTTATGCTACCACAAACAATTATGTTATGAACATTCCTATACATGTATTATTTTTCACTGCTACCAATATATCTGTAAGGTAAACAACCAACATTCAAATTGCCAGATACGAGCTTTATCCAGGACAGAAGATATAAGGGTAGGCATGTCTTTACTTTTGATAGATGCTGCCAATATCTAAAAACTGTAGTGCCTAGCAGTTATAGAAGTGCCTATCTTTATTTCAAGGGAAATCAACTCATTCAATAACTGATAAATAAAACATAATTATGAACAATTACATTTCTGTTTGATGATTACTTATGACCCCACACTGAATATAGAGGAATTCCACCCTCCCTTATCTCCACCTGCAGGCAATCTTTCCAGTCTTATCCCATACCAACTAACTTGCAAACACTGCATTTTTATACTCCACAGTTTTTTGCTCAGCATGGTCCCTCTACTCAGAGACATGCCCACTAAATCAAGGTATCATTACTTTCCTTGGGCACTCATCATACTTTGAATATTCAATCAATCTTATTTTTTGAGTACATACTGTATACCAAGCATATGCTAAAGACTGGCGATACAGACTGAAAACCCAGTTCCTAACACTAAAGAATTCCGGTGCGGGGGGCGGGGCAAATTGTTTCATCCCCAGTGCCTAGAGTGGTTCTTGGAATATCATAGATTCACAGTCAATATTGGTTTAAGTAATCTATATAATCTATCACATCAAATTAATAAAGAATTGCTTCTAAAGAGAAAAATAATGTATTATCGAAACAGCTGCTATAAAAATAAATTTTAAGAATATAAGTAATTTAAACATTGCTACCTTTTTGAATTTCCATCTATCTGATGGCAGGTACTACCTGGTTAGTTCTTAGAGGCTCCAGGATTTAGTTAGCTCAGGATCTTTAGACTCAGTCCTCTTTCTGCCACAATTTTCACTCTTAGAGTAGAATTTTTTTTTTTTAGAAATTGATTACAACTGTATCAATAATGTGTCTAAATCTCAAGGAAAATTAAATGATAGACAAATAATCTTTCTCAGTTTTGACAAAAGAAGATATTGAGCATAAAACTAAGCATCTTTCACAAAATTTAAAGTGACGACTACAGTCAGTGGTTAATTTAATGAAAGTGAAGCTACAGGATATCGCTATGATTTCTATCCCTTCTTCATCTGGCTTCTAACCATAACCAGATGAACTTTTAAAGATTCTGCCTAGGAACAATATACTCCAGAAACAATTCCACAAACTTTCCCTATTCCTACCCCCAATACACATGGACATAAACACAACAATACACACACTCATAAACAACTAGTCTATCTTAGATGCACAAGTATACCTATAGCATGTTGTACTTACCTCCTTCACAGCTCTTAACAAATTATATTAAAATTATTTGTCTTTTTCTGTGACTGTAAGATAGTCAAGGGCAGAGATCACATCTGAATCAGCTTTATTCACAGAAAATAAGAGCAGTCATGGTATAAGTGTCCAACACATGTTTCTTGAACTGATTTGACCTAAGTCAAAGTAGCAAGAGAGACAGAGAGGGGAATGTAAGGAAGAGATGAGTGTGATTCATGACTTGTCAGATGCTAGGAGTTTTCACTGACCCTGGGATTATGCACTAGAAGGCAGTACCCCAATCTCTTCTGATTTTTCTTTAAAAATGTTATTCTCCCATGCAAATGCAGAGGACAAAATGTTCCTCCAGGTGACATTGAATCCCAGGTTCAAGAAACTCCTATAAGAAAATCATGTTCACGTCAACCTTTCTGTCATTTCATTTTACCTTTTTTCTAGATTTAACATAAATGTGTGAGTTCATTTCTATAAAAATAAAATATGCCACTGGATATGGAAAAGGAAGACAGGGTCACAGAAAAATGCATTATCTAACCTGATGTGAATTTTAGGAAGAGGAGACTGAGTAAACCCCTAAGGAACCAAGAGAAAACTACTAAATTTCTCTTCTGATTCCAAGATCCTTCATACTTAAATCCTCTATTCCTCATCATTCATACCTATTTACTTTCTTCCAAATCAAGTTCAACAAGGCATGAGAACACTACCCAAAGGAACAATACTGACTCCATGAAAGTTCTGCTTTTATCTGCACGAAGTGAGCGTTAGGATTCTTCTTCTTGGGTAATTTCACATTGTAATTGTGGTTTGATAAGGTAGATCTACTATGGAATAAAACCTTGTTAAATCTATTACAGGAGATTTCGCTC